GGTACGGCACGAATTTCCGGGTACGGCCAGAATTTTTGAGCGGGTACGGCTTGAATTTCCGGGTACGGCTTGAAAGGAGTTTGATGGGGGTGATCGTTAACGTTAACGTTACCATTTCACATTTGCCCCGGCCGTTTTGTCGCTACCCCCACCAACTTGTTATAAAGTAACGTTACTAGTTATTGCTTGTTGGTATGCCTGTTTGTTTTTCTTTTTACTCCTGGCGAGACCAGCGCCTTTCACTGCCAAGTCTACTCCCTCACGCCCTCGTTATTTGGGGTGTAATCCGTGTAATCATTGCAGGTAATGAGAAAATTTTTTCTGCAATAATTTCAACGACTGCTAGAAGTCGCTTTTGATCCATGGCGCTGAAGGTCGTAAATTTACATTGAAATATGTATCCTTAATGCTGATTGGTCATAATTCTAGCAACGATGATGAGCCGTTGATGCTGATTGGTTCACGTTTTATGCTTGCTCGTTGTTGATTGGTTGGAAGTAATGATTACGTTAACTTCATGCCCAAATATGGGCAACCGATTCGAAACACCAGAAGCCGCTCTACTGCATGGACGTGCGTTTTCGTTCGGCGTGTTGTGCGTGAATTCTCTTCAAAGTTTCGGGTAAATTTCGGCTTGTTGTCAGCAAATTATCCGTCAAAAGTGTACAGTATATCACAGGAACGTTGCCGGGATGGATTTATGCCGTTCATTGGATGTTTTAATGGAGAAAATGAGCATTTCCTGGCAGGACGACAAGAAGCGAAAATGGCGGGAAGGGCGGCGTGGTGTTTGGAAGAATTTTTTGGGAGGTAAGACAACAAACTGCGCACATGTTTGCACATCCAAAAAACCTACAGCAACAGAGCACGTTATATTTCGTTATAATAATCGTTATATTCGTAGAAATTTGCCTTTCGTGGAACGCCATTTTCACTACATTAGTACTTGACTTGTGTTTTTGATAGGGAGTTTGTTTTCTTGAATATCGTGGTTTCGGGGGGCACTGAATACATTTCGTCCGTGTTGAGTGGCATTGAAATAGCTAGAGGCGCAAATTTCGCTGCCAAAAATTCGATGCAAACATTTTTTTTTTATTTCCGCAGTTTGGCTCAGTGAACACCTTTTGGAACGCACCGCACGTGTGCATAATTAAACCCACTCAATGTTCCCGCCAAAAATGTCGCGTAAACAAGACTTCGGAGTTCCCAAGGCTAGAATTAACTGGGTGCATATATAATATGCACTTCTCGTGTACCTGCATACCATCTTCGGGGTAGAAGAATCGCGTCTCTACTTTATCCTACATCCGTGACATCATACTCGAACAGTACAACTGTCTGGACTTTGAGGTTATGAAAAGCTCTTCTTAGGCCACACCAATTTAATTTGTTGGTTCTCGGATTTGCCCTGTCTATTTTTATTTGTTTTCTGATTTGCAAAAAAAAGATTTTAGGTTTTGAATCAACTGCAAAATGCTCAGTGAAAGACATATTTTGGCCCAAACGGTTGAAAAAAGTCCTTTTCTAACCAGTTATTAAAGTCTTTCCATGTAAAGTTAAAAATCTATTGTTTAAAATTATAAACCAGCCTGGTATGGTCTTCATGGCTCATATCGAAACATTTCCGGCCCTCATGGGTTGCCTTGGCCTAATATTTTGCCCTCACAGCGCCCTGTCACTTCATATTATTTCTGAAAAAATGCGAGAAACAACAAATTAAATTGGTGTGGCCTAATGTTGTTCCTCTCTAGGTAAAGTACTTGACATTTTTTTTACCAATCCTCCTCTGACTCCATGCCGTGTTGTAGAGACGCTCTGTCCTCGAAGGTACTTCTGGAAGGTCTGTATCCGTATAGCCGGTATAACCGCCTTTCGTTGAAACACACCAGCTTCGCAGGCACGCGGCGCGGCGGCAGCTGGCTATATTACACGGATCGACTTGTTACACCTAACCCTTGAACTTCTAGCTCTAGACTTTGTTTAAAGCTATCTATTGACAATGCCCCTACTGTGCTTGGTGACAGTGAGTTCCACTCTGCAATAGTTTAGGAAAGAAAGAATTCTTAAACACGTCTTCAATCCTTGGTTGATAAATCTGGTACTTGAAGGCATGGTCATTGATAAACTCTACAAATAGCACACTTCCTTATATATTAGTGAACACCGCAGCTTCTAACGTCAGACCACAAAGACTGTCCCGCATTCACCAGTACTCTGAAACAGGACGTCCTTTACCCAACACCATAGTTTCCTTGTTACTCCACAGAACTGTAACTTGTGGAGTAGGTGCTTATGAGGCACAGAATGTGGAACAGCCTGCTTGAAAAGCCTTTTAGAATCATACATACGATTCCAGGGAAGCACTAGTTTGCTCAGGTCTACCATTTGTCTACCACTGGTGCTGTCCTTGGTCCTGAAACCAATGTCGCCCCCTCCCTCAGTTTGTAATAATATTAGCCTGGTAGACTGGACTTTTTCACCTATTCTTGTCACCAAGGAGCTTGAACAATGTCCTAACGTCTCAGTAAAGCCAACTCTGGCTTATCTGGAGGAACATGATTGTCTCAAACACTTCCCTTTGTCAGAAAATACTTCATAACTGCAGTCATTTTGACCTTGATTACATGCCAGTAAAGCGGTGCAGTTGTTTCAAATTGGTTGTCCATATTTGGGCATAAAATCTATGTCATCATAGCTCCAATCCTAACCAATCAACAACAAGCAAAAATTACAACCTCCTTTTGGATCTCTAGACTCTCTAGTCCAGACCAGCGCGTTGGCAGAACGCACTGCAAAACCTGCGCGAAACCCGTAACGTATTGTGCA